AATTTGAATCAAATTATACGTTGTCCAAATTAATGAAGTGGGACAATGTAATGCTAATGTAAAGATTCATTCAAGACTTTGCTCAGCTTCCAGTGTTTAGTCTGCAGACTGGTATTTCTCATACAGTAGTCTCCCATCCAAATACTAACCAGGCCCAACCTCACTTAGTTCTTGAATCCAGATCAATATTCAATCAATTAGTTCACTGCCCAAAAAAAAGTTATTGTGAATTTTTTTAATGTTTTAAATAACTGCTATTATTATGTCATAATATTATGAGCAGAATCAACTTTTTAGATTTATATCCATGTTTAATTACCGATAGGCAGACCTTAGCACACTAATAGTATTAAGCAGGTATAAGTAGTTTTCATTTTTTAGGGTCAAGGGAAATGCTCTGGTTAAAATGATAAATGGAAGCCTTCAGCTATTTTTTCATTTGTACCTACCCTTTAATCTTAATCAAATTTCTGTATGTATGTATTTATGTATGTATGTATGTATGTATGTATGTATGTATGTATGTATGTATCAGTTTACTCTAATGTGATACTTTCTATATAGTCCCTTCTAGAGGTGTTATCACAATTGCCAAAATTCAATCCCAACACATCTGGAGATTAACATATTGAAGGTTGAGATACTGTCTTAATATCCACATTATAATAGCTTGATTCTTTCTTTGTTAGTCTTCTTCTGTGTCTGAGAAGTTAGTCAAAATTTAAAGATATGCTTATGTTTTAATATTAGGACAAGCAAAAAAAAAATCTCTGGACACTATGCTAGGAACTTTTTCTGTTAAAAACTCCAACTTGTACTGACTATTTTGAATCACATAACCTTACTAGGAAAATTGTTCTGATTTCCTAGAAAATTGTCAATGCTTGACTACTTCTATCCCACATAAAGTAATTTATATTATTTTTCTATTCAGCAAAGATGTTCAGTTTATGAACAACTTTGAACCAAATAAGCCAGCAATATGACATAATAGAAAATTTAAAACACATAAACAAAGCAGAACAAATTAAAAAAATATACATTTCAGAAATTCTCACATAACTTCACCCAATTCATAAAGTTTTAAATATTAATCAGATATGCTATAGGCCTTGTCTATTTCCTAAAGCTATATAAGATATTAAACATCCAAAATAGAAATAACCACTCTTTACATGAAAAAAAATAATGTGTTTCTTATATTGCACTCTGTAAAATTGGAGACCCACACGCTACTGATGCCATTGTATTTTCCTTAAGGAAATGCACCTATTTTTAAAGATACACCATTAATTTCCTTTCTTTTTTTAAAAAAATGGACAAAAATACAGTACATGGTGATTCAAATTTTAAAATCCAGGTTATCTTAGGATCATCTTTAACTATCCATAGCAGCTCCCTAAGACAATTCTCTCTCTCTCTCTCTCTGTATGTTTGTGTGTATGTGTGTGTGTATAATAGCATCAGTTTAATACATAACTACCCCATTTTCCCTGGAGACAGTAATCTATTTTGCAGGTTCTTTTGTTTTTTTAAATTTATGCAATATAAAACAGATGTTCATTCACTAATATTTCTAGTTTGAGTCCCTTTTTGGTATAACATGAAAACTGAAAAGCACATAAGTTATAATTGTCTATTGCCTCAAGTAACTATCGCTCAACAATTGTGCAGCAGCATTTTTAGGATTATATACACCCACACAGTATATATGTGGTTTTAAATTTCTGAATGTGATTTAATAGGAAATTCTTTTACAGACTTCTATTTTGTCTTTATACTAACATTAGAATGGATAGTTGCAGTTATTACAACATGGTATAAGCCCCTTATACCATGAATGGCAAGTTACTCAGTTATTGACAAAAACAACAATTCAAAAAGCAGAAGCTTTTGTGCTAAAATAGCAATATATGAGTACCAAGACTAATCTCTAGATTTTATATTACCATTACTTAATATATTTCCTGCTAACCAGGTGAATGAAACAAAGTGCATATAATCACAGTTATCTAAATTTAGAAATTCCTGAGTATTTATTCAGTCCTCAGCATAAGACATTCTGAAATGTATAGATTTTTTTTTTAAAGAAATTAATCTATTTTGGTCACTGACTAGCATAAAATACGATGACCATTTACAACTCTTTCAATATGAACAATCCAACTTATTTGCTGTAGAGAAATATCTAAAATGTAGAATTGCTGACACAACTATAAAATCAGATTAAATATTAAGATTATGAACCTATATTATTGAACAGTGCAAAATTATGTGATACATTGTTTCTTTCTCTCAGCCCAACCCACCTCACAGGGTTATTGTTGGAGAAAAATAGGAGGAAGACGAAATATTATGTATATTCACCACCTTGAGTTACTTATGAAAAAAAAAAAATAAAGGCAGGATGTAAACAAAATGTATAATAAAATAAAATTAAAAAATCCTCATATCACTAAATTCTACAAGTAACATTTGAATTAGTATTTGTATTTAATTACAGTATGGTGCAGTATATAAAAGTGTGGTATAAAACTGACTAAATACTGTAAAAAGTATTAGTAATAAGAACTTTTAAGACTGCTGCAATTCATATATTGAGGCATAACTTGGACTAGCATAAGCAGTCACATGAGTTATTTTTTAAAAATATTTTAAATTCCACAACAAATTCATTGCAATCTAAAAAAAATCAATCTTCTGCAGAAGGGTTCCTTCACTAGTTATAAACACTTATTCCTTGGTCAATTGCATGTTTATTTTGAAAATATAGAAATAGCTAAAATACGGTAGTAGGAAACAATTTGGTTTTAGGAAATACTTCATCAAGAATTCAGAAATTTAATAATCTTTTCTTACACAAGCATTTATAGGGAGTAGTCAAGCTTCTTCCCTGAAAGGCAGATAGAACTTAATTTACTCATAGCAAAGACAGAGTCACTAGTTTGTCACTGAATTAATGACATCTACCGTAGGCTTAATTGTACTTCTCCATTAGTGCTAAAGATTAAAATACTATCTTTAGAAATGATTGCTTAAAAAAAAACAAACCATGTAAAGGAAAAGTTGCATTCAGTTTAGCAATTCTATTTAAAATGTATAAAAAATCATTTTTTATGTTAGTAAACATACTTAGCACATGCATAAAAGCTAAGCCAATCATACTTTACACTCTACAATTGCTGTTTTAAAACTGTTGTTTATTATACATGCTTCAAAATAGGGTATTATCACAGCATCTTGAGTCCATTTCTCTTTTTTTGCAAAAATGGCCACAGATTTTAAAAGCCATCTGTGAATAGCCACCCAGTGTCATTTCTATATAAAGATGAGCAGCAAATAAATTTAATAAATAAAATATGGATAAAACTTTTAAAAGACTTTCATAATCATGATCTGAACAATCAGAAATAGATTTTTCCCATATATTTCTCTTGAAAGTTTAGAAAAAAATATTTACTTTCAATCAGCCATTTGAATGTATGTGAATTTATTTATTTGTTAATCAAATTCATATAGCCATTCATCTCCCCCCCCCCAAAGTGGACTCTGGCAGTGTACATTTGCATGTCACATGGAATTACTCCACACAATACATCAATACTGAAATTTGCAGTTGTTCAGAAAAAAAACTTTATCTTGTACAGAACCACCTACACTAAAACACTGCAAATTTTTTTAAAAAAGTTTCATAAGTGTCAAAGTATCCTAGACTACACTCTATAAAGTATCAATAGCAGGTATAGCAACATTACTAACTGGGTCAAAAAATACCAGACACAAAAGAAATAATGTAACAAAAAATCCACTAACAATAGGCTTTTTCGGCCATTAAAATGGACTCAACTCCAATATGTCCTTTATTAGCTGCTCTAAGATTTCAGTTGGTTAACACGCATAGAAGTGCACCACTTCTGAAAACTTAAAAGAGTTGCAAACATTCATGCCCCCACCCATCCTTTATAGGAACAAAGCACGCAACCACAACTGAAATCACTCTTATGATTCAAGTCGGATAAGATCGGAGTCCCTACCCGGTCACACACTTAAAAAAACCAAAAAAAAAAAAAAAAAAAAAACCACTGAAGTTAGCAAGAATGACTCCTCAACACAATCAGCTCTTTGACCACTAAGCAAACTGCACAATCTTTAATATTTACCAGTTTAATTACACCACGCAACTGCCACATTTCCCTCCCAGGTAAAAAGCCACCAAGAGTCGTAGTCAAAAAGTAGGCGTTCGCGCCAGGGAAAACCAGAGGCATGCTACGCGACCAAGCCAAGCCTAATCATGCTTACTAAACAGGTAAACTCTTTAACAGCCCCCCTTTTTTTCACTCATTCTTTACCTCCCCGTCGTCTTCCAGCTTGCCTTTCCCAAAAGCTACCCATCTAAGGGCACATAGGCTATAGTACCTTCCGCCGTACCCTGCACCTGAACTCCCAAAGCACCTTCCTTCCTTCCTTCCCCAACTTTGGGGTTGCTCCAGCTCCCTCCTCCTCCTCCTCCTCCCTTTTGGATGCAGAGGAAAGGGGCTGTTCGATGGACTTAAAACCACCTCCAAGCCCAGCACCTTCTTTCCTTCAGAGGCCAGCCAAAGGCTTCCCCCCAAAATGAAGACAACAAAAGCCCCTCTCCTGCTATTTCTGCTCAGCACCGGGCGTCCAGCGGCATGCTGCCTCTGAACATGAAGGCTCCTTCCCAGCTGCTAGGGGTCGATGAAGCCCGACCCCCTCCCCCGCCTTCTCAACTTCTCTCTAAAACCGGCGTTTCTCCATCCATAATGAGGCAAACCGTCCATGGAACTGAACTCCAAAAGAAGGGGCGAGGATGGCACCGGGGGTGCGAGGGGGGGGGACAAGAGCAGCTCGCCCTGCGGTGGAGTCTACGGACCCCGAGAGTTAAGCGGTTTTCCAACAGGCTCCACATAGCCTCTTCCTCCCTTTCAGCCCTGCTTCGGCTCTTCCCCCGTTTCCTTCGCTCTTCCACCAAGGCGTACCTTCGCCCGTTTCCCCCTGGCGCAGCCCTCCGCCTCCACCGAAGCGGCGCGATCCTCTGCGGGGCGCAATAAATGGGCGGGAAGAGCGGCTTCGGCCCAGCTGGTCCTTGCTCGCGCGAAGCCTCCGGCGCAAGCAGCCCCGCGACTGCTTCGCTCGTCCTCGGCGCCGTCCCGCCCTCTTTTCCTCACAGCGCTTCGGCTTCGCTCTTTCCTCCCCTTCCCTCCTCAAAAAAAGAAACTTTATAACATCGCTAAGCTACAGGAACGGGCTCCCGGGAGCTATGCGCCTGCGTAGAGCTCAGAGATGCGGCGAACAAGATGGGGTTAAGGCGCCAGGACTACAGATCCCATAAAGGTGCTACGCCAGAAAAGAAATAGGAAAACTGGCCAGACTTCCGAGAAGCATCCTGGGGTATGTAGTCTAGAATGAGTCTTTGCGTCGCGCCATTCATCTCAAGCGTTGCATGCTGGGATTTGTATGCTCCATTTCACAGCCTTCAGACCTAAAGTTGCATGCTTGGACTGGCCATCTGTTCAGGCAGTGACCTTTCCCTGTACTTAGTGACTGAAGAAAAATTCTTCTGATATTAGGAAAGACACAGAGATCGCTATCTGCACGGCCCTTTTTATGTATGAAACCCTATAGAAGTCGTGCATAAAAAGTGATTCCTCGCACTGAGCATTATTGGGATGCTGGATATTTTATCATCAGCAAAGGAAAGAAAGAAAGAAGGAAGGTTTTTAAAACAGCACCTCATATCTTCCTCCCACCTAAAATTTAATGCTAACTATAGCATTCAAATTATGCTCAGTAAAGACCAGCAATAGAATAGGCAGGGAGTGGGCAGGGAAATTCTAGAGAAAATACCTTATGTGGGCTGATGTGTTGCCTTTAAAATGAAAAACTTTACATTGAAAGGAAGGAATATAGTGTAGCTGTTAGGAAAGGAAATCTTTGCACTATTGAGCAGGATGTCGCTGGTTTTGATGTATTTCTTAAAAAAAATCATTTTAAAAATACAACTCATATTAGAACCATGTGTACTTCCTGGCAAGCCTAATGCAAATAAAGACAAAGTGCACTAATTGAAAAAAAAAAAAAACTATGAGTGATAAACTTTTTCAATAAAACTTTATTGTATAAATACATCCAATATTGATACTCAAATAATATTCATGATAAAGCCAGAAAATAATTTATTTCTAAATGTAAGAAGTTTTAAGTGTTTCTAGATTAATATTTTTTTATTTCCTTTAATATTGCTAATGCATGCTAAACCATATTCACAACTGCTCAAACTAAAAAGGGAGGCATTCAAACAAACAATAGAAACATATGATATAGTTGCTAGTCTATAGGTTCATGTTTACAGATGAAGGGTTACAGCCGTGGTAGCGAACCTATGGCACAGGTGCCACAGGTGGCACGCACAGCCCTCTGTGGGCTGTGCGCCGTTGCCCCAGTCCTAGGCCTTCAGCTGGGTTTTATAAAACCTTTTCGCTTTAGGCCTCTGCCATCATGTGCAAAAAAAAAAAAAAAAAAAAGTTTCAATCAATCAATCAATTTCAACTCGCGGGGAAAAAAAAATCTCGCAAAGTTGGAATTGATTGATTGAACTTTTTAGTCCCACCCAGTCTGCTGTTACCACCACAGCCACGCCCACCCAACGCTAACCACAAGTTAACAAGCTCAGATCTGTGACCTTAATTAATTAAATAGTACCCTCCAGTGAGCTTGCACTGCTGCCTAAAATTGACAAGGCCTTAATCAGTTACAGATTGATGTCTTTTGCCTCCTAACTGGGTCTTTCTGATACTGGAAAAAAGAATTCCATATACATGTAGATCTAAGTACTTCTTGTTTGTAGTTTTTCACTGTAATTTTTGTCACTTTTGCCAAGAAAATTAAACAGAAAGTATGTGTCTCTTTTCTCCACCCACCCAGATTTTCTCCTTTTCTTTGACTGTTCAGGTATCTGGTAACTTTAGGTATATGTTGTTTTACCTGGGATTATGTATGCATCAGGCAATGGAGAAGGTTCCAGAGTACAATCATATTGCATTCCTCATGATGATGTTAAAAAGCAATATATGTTTAGAAAATGTAAACTTGGACTGCAGCAAAATACTTTAGTTCTAGTCGTTTGTTGATGTGAAATATATAGAGAAGGCACTAAAATTAACTATATATCGTCCCCATCGCCTGGCAAAGATATCCCATCCCATAAATGATGGTCTTACCCTGATACGGGATGCAAAGAGGAAGCTGATGCTTAAGCATAGCCATGACCAAGTAGGTTCAGCAGCCAGAAATCTAAGCCCTAAGAGCAATGCATCTCTTGTGATATAAAGTCCTTCATTATGTACGGTCAGTCATGGCAATTCAAAACTATGTCTTCCAATGGCTTCTATCTCCCAGTTCCTCTCTTATATTCTGCCTCATCACGCAACAAGTAATAAAAAATGGGAAGGCTCTTTTGGTGCCTCAGAAACATAAAGAGAGAGAAGTCAAGTTCCGTAAGAACTTTGGAAATATTTGCTGACAGACGTCCAAAATTTGGTTGCTAATCTGCAACACATGGCATGCAATTGCAAAATATCAATATTATTTTGTGCGGTGAAGGTTTAATAATGTGCTTACAGATTAAGATACAGTACTTCCTATATCTGTTACTATTGTTTTCTTTAGTATTCAATAATTATTTTTTCCCTCACTCTCTTTTTTACGTGTTAAAGTTCCCTAAGCAAAAAGAAAAGGCAATACATATGTCCTGTACCTGTAGATTAGTCTGTGAATTACCCCCATGAATATGTTAACTGAAATATGGAAATGATACTGGTAGTCATGTTGCTTCTGTGTGGAATGGAAGGCCCTGCTAGCTTGCTTTCAGCTCATAGCTCAGGGACTAAATGAGGAGAGAGAAAGAGAGGTTTGCATCCATTATTTCCATCCCATTGCAAATAATAGCAGGGAAATAATTCAGTCCAGCTGAAGGGTGGTGACGTATGCAGCAGATCCACAGATCTTTCTAGTAATATGTTTTTTCTCCTCTGTCTTGTTTTGAAAAATGTAAGGGTGGGAAGGAAAAAGAAGCTTGACATAGGAGTTTTTTCTCCAAAATCAGAGTTCTTTCTCAACCCTGCATCAGGTAAAAACATTATGGAATTGCCATTGCTACTGTGGAATCTTTTTCTCTCACACAGTCAACCTGAGACAATCAGACATTCATATACGCATATTATTATGCTTTACAACCTTGGGAACATTAAGATGTCTGGAGTTAAATGTGCTGCCTGGGAAATTCTGGGAGTTGAAGTCCACACATTTTAAAAGTTTCCAAGGATGGGAACACTGCTTTGGAATATGATACTATATAAATATTTCATAAATTTAAAATTTAAAAATGTCCAGTGGAAATTATTTCACTGGTCGTGATTAGGTAAAGTCGATCGATGGAGATGCCGAAAAAAGATGGAAGGTATCTACATACCTTCTTTAATCAGACATTACATTATTTTAGAATACCTCTGTACAAACTTTCTATAATTATAAAATGATTTGACTAAATGCTTTTGTTAAAAAAAATATCCCTCTTTTAGTCTTGTTTAAACATAAAAAGTTAGCAAGACATTGCCATGAATATCTGGAAGTTCTGAGACATCAAAAACAAAAAAATTCAGCCCTTTTATGGTTCCTTCCAGGAGCAGTTATTGCTGTGACACATGAAACAATGTTTATAATCATCAAGTTTTATCTTACTTTTTCTGGAATATTTAAAATTGGTTACTATGCATTAATGTTAAAAGTCAGTCTCATAAACCCGTTCTGAAACATTTATGCTTAAAATTTCTCAAAGAAGTTCTGAATACTCAATTCTTACATATAAACACATCTTTGTTGCAAGCAGGCATTCCATAATTGCACTTCATAATTGTAGTTCATAATGAAACAAAAGGGTAATCACTTCAACAATGAATGCAAAGTCAGCTGGGAACAATGGATTTTCATTGCCATAGCTACTTGTCTACCAAAGCTATGAAGGGTCACATACTGTGTTTCTTTCTATGTGGGCCTGCAGCTTTTCATAGACTCACAATTATTCATACAGTTCAAATCATTCTTCAGTAGGAGTCCAATAGCCAAATCTCCTAGAGCTGTATTATGGGATGATTCATAATGAAAAAAAAAAAAACCTTCTGCCACAATGCTTGTCTTTATTCTTGTGACAACAACACTCGACATTGGTCATTTATATAAGGGAAATTCATGGTGCTTATGATGCTTCTTATTCACAATATTTTGCATACCATCATTTGAAATTGTGATGCTATTCAATATCACGCACCTCTTCATTGCAGATATGTAGGACATTTTATTCCTTATTTTACATATTGTGGTTACAACTGATCCTGAATCCATAAATTGTTCATTTAGAAAATAAACAATCAAATATGGGTAGCCCTCGACTTAAAAACATTCATTTGGTGAGTATTCCGAGTTACAACGGCACCAAAAAAAGAAAAAAAAGTGACTTATGACCATTTTTCACACTTAACAACCGTTGCAGCATCCCTATGATTACACGAACAAAATTCAGGCACTTCCCAACTGGCTTGCATTTATAATGGTTGCACTGTCCCAGAGTCATATGATCACTTTTCCAGCCGGCTTCCAACAATCAAAGTCATAATCAGATTTGCTTAATGATTCACTTAACAACTGTTGCAAAAATGGTCATTAAAATGGGGCAAAACTCACTTAACAAATGTCTTCCTTAACAATGGAAATTTGGGGCACTTCTAAGCCAAGGGTTACCTGTACATCAAAACAGAGATAGCTTGGTGAAAGTGCTTGTGTGGAAAAAATGGTATCTAAATCATCAGCAGTATGATGTGATTGCGAAAAAAGATGAGATTTTATGCTGCATCAATACAAGTGTAAGTTTCAAATCATACAAAGGAATAGTTCTACTATATTCTACATTGCTGACACCACAGTGCCCTTACCCACCTCTGAGTACCAAACATCAGAAGACGTTCAACTATTTGGAACAAGTCATCCCTGTAATAATAATAATAATAATAATAATAGTAGTAGTAGTAGTAGTAGTAGTAGTAGTAAAGTTGGAAGGGACCTTGGAGGTCATCTAGTCCAACCCCCTTCTTAGGCAAGAAACCCTATACCATTTCAGACAAATGGCTGTCCAGTCTCTTCTTAAAAACTTCCAGTGTTGGAGCATTTACCACTTCTGGAGGCAGGTTGTTCCACTGGTTAATTGTTCTAACTGTCAGGAAGTTTCTCCTTAGTTCTAGGTTGCTTCTCTCCTTGATTAGTTTCCATCCGTTGCTTCTTGTCCTGCCTTCAGGAGCTTTGGAGAACAGCTTGACTCCCTCTTCTTTATGGCAGCCCCTGAGATATTGGAACACTGCTATCATGTCCCCTCTCGTCCTTCTCTTCATTAAACTATCTCAGAGAGACCCACCAATAATCAATCTACGTCATAGGAAGGCAGATTCTAGATGACTGCAAGTAAGAGCAGTTGAAGAACCAATGACCCAGGAAGGGGGCTTGACTTCCTTTTGCTGACTGTGATGGAGCAGAGGGTGGGTAGAACTATTCCTTTTGCCCGTAGAGATCGGGCCTCAATCATTTCAGTGACAAGCACCCACCTC